TACCAGTGGATAAAGAAGAGATTTTCTTAAAAGTCCTTGGATATTACATTTTGGGGTTTGCCATGAAGAACACATTTCTCAACACTTTCTTTGTTTATATTATTCTTACTGCTGGTAAATAGGATTTTAATAGTACGCTCCCCTTCATTCGGTACCTGCTTTTATTTGTTAAAATAAAATTTAATGGAAGTTTGTATTCCAAATTTTAGTTTCCTAGCAAAATTTATATATTCTGATTATCAGCTTATATGTCATACATGTACATATTTTTCTAGCAGAAAAGGGCACACGATATAAAAAAATAGTTGATATATTTGTCCCATTTGTTCTTCTTAGATGTATTAAGTTCCTCCTCTTTCCGTAGTACTTTCTACATTATGGAACCTATGAAAATTGGGGAGGGAATAAGGTTTATTACATTTAGTTTACCTTAGCACCTGGTTTCCAAAATGCCTCCTACCTGGTTCTGGCTTTTGTTCTATTAACGACAGCGAGATCAGAGAGTCATATTAAAGTTGCTTGGTAGGTCAAGCCCTCTATCTTAGGAATGAGTCAAGCACACTTCTTTCTTCTTCTAGACCCATTGTTTAGAACTGTACATTTTGTTACCAAGAAAAAAGGTAAAAGGTTTGACAGAAAACCTCCACAGCCTCCAGGCTGTGGACTCTGTACCCTTGTAAAGATCACTCACCTGAGTAAAGTCTAGTCTCAGATGCTTAGACTAGACTAGCTGTAGAAGCTGTGTGCTGGGTACCCCGTCCCCCGCAACACACAGCCATCTTCAGTTTAGCCAGTGAACGTTTATGAAATATCCACTAGGTACACAGCATTGTGCTGTCTGCTAGAAGTGGGACACGGACTCAAACATCAGTAAGATGGGTCCCCAGCACCAAGGGGAACAGAACTCGTGAGGAAAAAGGCACATTCAGAATTTCAAGCCACAACCAAATTCAAGGTAGTCCCTAAAATCAAAGTGCTACGTGTAAGGGATCAGGAAAATATGGGGAACGATGACAAGAGAAGAACCAGTGTGTTTACTGATCAGTTTTCCAAGCGGGAAACTGAAACTGACACAATGAGGCATTGGACCTGGAGCACTTCCAAAGCTGGTGTGCAGAGAAATCTTGCAGGGCTGAGGACGGACGGAATGCAGGAAGGAGGACAAGGAGCCAGGCAGGGGAGACACCCTTGCACCAACCTACTTACAGCCTGATGGTTATTAATTATTTTCAGGATATATACAACCACATTTTAACTTAGTTTGTAACATGTACTGAATAAAAAGAAGATAATGCAAAGCAATTCTCCAACACAGTAAAAGGTAAATGACCCATGTTTACGGTATAATCCCTTTCCAATATGTTACACACACACACTGCACGCATGTTTCATTTCTTTGCATTCAGTGTGTATTAGTCCATTCTATTCTTGAATTGCTATAAAAAATACCCGAGACTGAGTACAAAGAAAAGAGGTTTAATTGGCTCATGGTTCTGCAGACTGTACAGGAAGCATGGCTGGGGAGGCCTCAGGAAACTTACAATCGTCATAGAAGGCTAAGGGGAGGCAGGCATGTCTTATGAGGTGGAAGGGGAGGAAGCAGCAGGGAGGGAAGTGCTACACACTTTTAAACAACCAGATTGAGTGAGAACTCCATCACCAGAACAGCACCCAAAGGGGAAATCCACCCCCATGATCTGATCCTATCACCTCCCACCAGGCCCCACTTCCAACCCATCTGACATGAGATTTGGCATTGAGACACAGATCTAAACCATATCACAGTGTAAATATGTTGTTTATGTATTTGAGATTTAGCTTTTTCCTCCCAGTATCATCTTACTTTATAAAATGCTAGAGAACAATTTAACCACAAATGTATTTCTGGGTTGGTAAGAGTATATATCTTTCAAAAATAAGTAAGATTAAATTCCTGTTTTAAGGGCTGTTTATAGCACTCATTTCTCTGTAAAAACTCCCTGCAAGTTCTAACCTAAAATGTGACTAAATATTAGGGACATGGGGATGTAATGAAGGAAGCAGAGTTGAAAGATATATTTCTTCATTTTCCAGTAAAGTAGCACATACCCTATTCAGGAAAAATTAATCCTCTAGAATATATCTTTTTTGCTTGTTTAGAAGACAAAATTAGCAACACTAGCCTTTCTAGCCATGGGTTAAGCAAAGGAGAGTTTGGTTATTTAACTTTCTAGATCAAATAATTAGAAGAAGTTTCATATGTCTGCGCTACTATGGAAGGCTGCCTGCCCTCGAATGTCTGCTATTTGGACCTTTATTAAATCCTTTTACTTTATTTTTTTGCTAAAGACCATCCTCTAAATTGATATATCTACTAAAAGGACTTGTAAGATGATTTATATAATATTGACATTTTTAAAAATTTTATTTAATAAAATAAATTTATTGGTGGTTAGAAAATTAAATGACCTATAGGGTACTAAATATAGCTAAACATAGTTGATATATTGGTATCACTTGTTTTTCTTATATGTATTCATCTTTTTCCTGGTATTTCTTATTTTCTAAAGCCTGTGAAAACTGAGGCAGAAAAAGGTTTTTTACATATAGCTGGTCTCAGAACATGGTTTACATAATATTTTGAAAAAAATTTTAAACTAAGTTCAAAGTTTAATCAGGACTTTAAAAGTGTTATTACTTTTTGTCCTCATATTTATTCCTTAATTATGTGATACTTCCTTTTTTAAAGAGTCTTGTTCTGTTGTCTCTTACTACCTGGTACTTTTAGGTTTTACGTAGATTTTGGTTTTAGATAGGAGATACTTAGAAATATTAATATATCAGTGATGACTGAAATAGCTGTAACTTTTTGAATAGTGCAACTAAAAATAATTTATTTTTAAAAGATATCTAAAATGATATAGTAGAAACTTAAATTTTCAAAAACGGACTTATAGATTAAAAACATCTTCTTTCTCAATTTGACCCAGCACAGCTTCGTCTAGCTTCAGTCCAGTCCTTTATTGTGCATTTCAGTCTCGCCATGTATAAAATGGAATAACAGAAAAGCCCATGATTTTATTTTTATACAACATTTCTTGGATATCATTTAAGTACGATTTTTACATGTACCAGAATCCAGTGGTACAATGAACAGAAGATGGTAGCATATCTATTTTTGTTTTTCTTTTTTATTTTATTTTATTTTATTTTCTTTCTTTCTTTCTTTTGAGATGGAGTTTCGCTCTTGTTACCCAGGCTGGAGTGCAATGGCACGATCTCGGCTCACCGCAACCTCCGCCTCCTGGGTTCAGGCAATTCTCCTGCCTCAGCCTCCTGAGTAGCTGGGATTACAGGCACGCGCCACCATACCCAGCTAATGTTTTGTATTTTTAGTAGAGACGGGGTTTCACCATGTTGACCAGGATGGTCTCGATCTCTTGACCTCGTGATCCACCCGCCTCGGCCTCCCAAAGTGCTGGGATTACAGGCGTGAGCCACGGCGCCCGGCCCTATTTTTTATTTTCTATGTGGTACCAAAATTAATATGCAGCTCGGAATATCATCCTGGAGTCTTGAGCAACGACAGTGAAATAATTTGTCAGCCTGGAAATTTTCATGGCCTAAACATATACCAGTTATGGGAATGAGTTCACGATTTAAGAATCACAGGTATTCTGTTAATTTCTAGCTGCTCTTAAACATTTGTCAGTAAACGAATTGGGACCTACAATTAACTCTAGTTTAGATACTGATATACCACTCATACCTAACACAAATGGGGACTTTTAATGACAGTCAGAAAAACATGAATAATTCACCTTGATTTAGAGCCTTCTATGTGACTGTCCTGCATCACGAAGTAGGTGTTTCACATATGCCATTTGTTTTTTATTACAAGAATAATACTGCAGATAGCCCATAACTGCTTTCCAGGACACCTGAATTTTCTCTTTAAGGATGCTACACATACTTGCTTTGGATACCAACAGTCTAACCGCCAGCTTTGCAAACTAATTTTCCAAGAGGCAAGTCATTCTTGGTAACAGCATTCTGAGGCATGGAGCTCCTGAGGTGGGAGCTCACTTAACCTGGTGCCAGGGATCTGTAAAGCACGTGAAAGAAACCCAGTGAGAGTCCGCTGGGCGGGCACGAGGATCTCACATGGTAAAAACTCGAGTCTATCGGGAAACACAGGAACTCAAAGGCATAAAGAAATCGAGTGCTAGAACATAAAAATGTCATTTAGACACAGACGTTTTTCTGCAAGTCACCACACTTTAATTTTACTAAAGGAGACTAGAGATCTATTGAATTCATTCCCCCAGGGCACGGGTTCTACACCCCAGGCTCCTCTGCTGAGAAGCCTCCTCTTGTAGCTGGACTGGAAGAGTGCTGCAGAAAAGACAGAACCCAGTGGGGATGACAGAATTCTCTGATTGCCTGCAAAAGAGGACATCCAGTTGGTGGAGAGCAAAATTATTTCCACACTGGAAATAAAAGCATTGACCAAAATAAAAAGGCTTTGTCAAATAAAGTTCACTCTTCTCATTACTTGCCTTAGTGTTTCAAAGATGAACGCTTTTTGTTAGGACACGTCACAGATAAGGTGAGAACGCAGCATCACCTGTCTGCATGGGGGACACTGTTGGGATGCGTCCCGCTGCCAAAAAGGGGGGGAGGGGCAGTTTAAAAAGGACAATGAAGAAGAATCCCTGCAATTCACAAAGCCGGCCACTGAAATTAATCCCAGGGTTCCGCGTCCACGGGAAACGTGAGCGTTTAGGATGCCGCTCACGTGGCACCCCTCAGCGCTAACCCGGGCGCACCGTGCCCCGGACGTTCTCCGAGGCGGTTAAGGATTCGCAGATAACAATGTGTCCCAGAGACGGGGCATTTTCTAAGGAGACAGACAAAGAGGCGGGCCCTCCAGCCTGGCTCTGCGGGAGGAACGCGCCCCGCACTGGGGGCTCCAACCCCGGGAGCGGCGGGGCCGGGGGCCTGGAAAACGCCGGCACGGTTCAGAAAACAGGACCCTCGAAACGTACGCACGGCCTGATAACGTTTCGTCCGACGAGGAAAACGGCTTGAAAAGGTCGGCTTCCAAGCGACCCCGGAGTCCCCCTGGAGGAAAAACGCGCAGCAGCCCCGGGGCGCGGCGCGGGCAGGAGAGGGGGCCGCACCCGCCTGGGCCGCGCACCTGGGCCGCCACGCCCACCTGTCCCCGGCCGGGCTCGCGCCGCCCCTCTGCACCGGGCGCCGCCGGTCCGAACCGAACCCGGCACGGCCCGTCCGGACCCAGCGGCGACCACCGGGATCCAGCGCCGCTAGTCGGACCGAACCCAGCACCGCCCGTCGGACCCGGCGCCGCCCATTTGGATCCGGCACCGCCCGTCCGAACCGAACCTAGCACCTCCCATCCGACGCGGCGCGGCCAGTCCGAACCGAACCCAGCACCGCCCGTCGGACCCGGCGCCGTCCGTCGGAACCGGACCCAGCGAGCGCCGCCCATTTAGACCCAGCACCTCCCGTCCGAACCGAACCCGGCACCGCCCGTCGGACCCGGCGCCGCCCGTTTAGATCCAGCAGCGCGGGTCCGGGCCGAACCCGGCACGGCTCGTCGGGACAGAGCCCCGCAGCGCCCGTCGGGACCCGGCACCGCCGGGCAGGCGCGAACGCAGCGCCGCGCCTCGGGACAGAGCCCGGCCCCGCCCCCCGGCGCCTCCCTCCCCGCGGCCGCGGCAGCAGCACCTAGCGGAGCCGCTCGGAGGTGCGGCGGCGGCGCGCGGGCGGCGGCGCGCACGGCGGCGGGCGGGGGCGCGCACGGCGGCGGGCGGGGCGCGGGCGGTTGCGGGCGCCGGGCGCACACCGGCCGGCGGGGTGAGGCGGCGCGGCGCGGGCTGAGCCGCGGGCGGAGGCCGAGGCGGAGGACGCGGCGCGGGCGCGGAGGCGGAGGCGGCCGCGGAGGCGGAGGCGGCCGGCGCGGGCGGCCAGGGGCGCCGGGCCCCCGCGGACCTGTCGTCCTCGGCCGGTCCTCCGGCCCCGGCCCCGCGCGGCTGAGGAGGCGCGGCCGGGACCATGTCGGCGGGCGGCCGTGACGAGGAGCGGCGGAAGCTGGCCGACATCATCCACCACTGGAACGCCAACCGGCTGGACCTGTTCGAGATCAGCCAGCCGACCGAGGTGAGCGCCGCGGGGCGCGGGGCCTGCGCGACCCCCGCCGCCGCCGCCGCCGCCGCCGCCCCACCCCCCGCCGCCGCGGCCCCGCCCTCCGCCCCCTCCCCCACGCCCGCTCCCTCCCCTCCCCCCGCCGTCCCCAGGCCCCCGGCCCGCGCCCCCCGCGGTCCCTGTCCCCCCGCCGCGGCGTGTCCCGGGGCGCGGCGCTCACCTGTCCCCCCGCGGGCGGCTCACCTGCCGGCTCACCTGGCCGCCGCCCCCACCCCCGCGCGCGCGGCGCGGTCCCGGCCCGATCCCCGGCGGCGCGGAGGGTGCGGGGGGCGCGGCGGGGCGCGGGCGGGCGCCCTCCACCTGCAGCGCGGTTCTGGCTCCCGCGGCGGCCGGCGTGGCCGGGATGGAGCCCGTGACGCGCGCGGTGCTCGGTTCCCTCGCTCGGAGGCCGCCGGCCGGGGCGGGGGGAAGTTGCGGAGCTGCGGGCTCCCCGGCACCCGGGCCCGGCCCTCCCGGGGAAAGGCGCGCCGCCTCCACCCTCGGGCGGCGGGGAAGGGCCCCGGGCGACCCTGCGGCGGCCTCTGCCGGCCCGAGGCCGGCTCCCCGGGAGGAGGAGGAAATCCCGCTCGCTGCTGGCTGGTAACAATGGGGGTTGTTTATAGCAAAGCTGCTGAAGGGGTTCCGAGCGGCTGTAAAACAATGAGTGCGTCCCGGTCCGCCGGGCAGGGTTCCGTGCCGGGGAGGGGGAAGGGCAGGGAGCCGCCGCGTTCGTCGCCGCGCGAGGGTCGTCTCCGCGCTCGGGGCTTCGGCGGCTGCACAGACGTGAACAGCACAGAAAGCACTTCGCTCGGGACGGGTGCCCGTGTAGGAAATCATTTTAGTAGCGTCTGTGTTTAATACTTGCTGGAATACCAGCTCCTAGGGAACAAAACATCTTTGGCAGATGGGAACATTCTTGTGAAATTTAATCCCTTTATCATTAAATTCCACTTTATATTTTTGAGAACATTTGACTGTTGCTTGTCTGATTTCTTGATTTTTGCCAGTCATGGGAAGGATTCCATTTCTTCTGTCTTGATCTGTACCTGTGACTGCACTTGACAGGGGTAGCTAGCCATTTGTCTTAATCCTTAGTTGATGCTGATACACGTCATGAGGCTCAGGTTGCCAATTAGAGCATACATATTGTTAAGTTACTCCTGATTCATTCATCTGCTGTAATGATTTTATGAGTGAAGTTCTAGAAAGCAAGTTAGTCCTGTGTACTTAACTATTTGTTCATAGACTAGTATGTCTTTAGCAAAGTGACATGATAATTTAGTTCAGGATTATGTTTTCTTTCAGAATAATGAGTTCATTTTTCTTTTTATCACAAGATAAAAAAATTTGACCATAAAACATTTTCTTGGTATGTAGTTGTTTTTTGTTTGTTTGAATGGATTTTTTTTTTTTTTTTTTTTTTTTTTGAGGTGTTTCTCTAGTCTGGTGAAAAGGAGTCTTGTTTCAGTTTTATAAAGGTAATTCAGCTTTTTGGTACAGTATCTCGAATTGAATTAGCATTTAAAAAAACTCAAATCAGAAACATAGTTCATTGATTTAAATAAGTTCTATTTTAAACACTCAATTGAAACTTTTTCTTATCGGTCTGTCATTTGGAAAGCTGTTTTTTTCAGTTACACTATAGGTGAAAGTATGTGGTGTACATATATTGAAGCAAAGCAAGAATTGAAGGACTTAAATTATTTCATTTTTTTTTCCTACTTATATCTGAACATTTTTATTTTTAGAAATTATTCTTCAGAATTGTATTAGAAGCTTTTCATGATGAATTGCTTTTTAATGAGGTCTTTTTTTTTTTTTTTTTTTTTTTTTTTAAAAAGCTTTTTCACTATATAGTGGCTGGCTGGCATTTTGTTTTGGTTTCTGGGGAACCTTCCTGTGCTATACATTTATTCTGGTCCTAGTTAAGCTTTACATTTAACATATTATATTTTTCATTAGGATGTAGGTAAACTTACCAGTAATTCTCTAAGCCAGTATTTCAAGGCAACAGTTTCAATTTGCTTTTTCTAAGTTCACGTGAATTTATTTTTTCTTTTAACCATCTAATGATTATTTTTACTCTATTTGGCCATCGCAAATCCAATTTTTTAGTTTTCTGCAAGAACAGAAGCATTGTGCTGGTCCTTATCAAATGTTAAGTAAATGTTGAACAAATTCACTACAGAAGTTGATTTGTAGAAATAAGATTTAAGCCTTGTATTTATTTACTTGAGTTATCTTTTTATGTGTCTGAGAATATAGCTGTGGGTTTTCTTTTGTTTGTTTGTTTGTTTTTTTTTTGTAGAGTGATAAGTATCTATTTTCAGATTTTATAACTTCATTAATCATCTGTGATTGGTGGTTTCAGGCAGCTTTGATAACCACTGATAATTTTGTGGTTTCTGTGTTTAAGAAGAGGATAAACTTGGTTCTTTGGATTGCATTCTTTTTTTAAGAAAATTAGAGTATGTTTTAACATCCTTGCTAAGTTTGCTTTTTCCTTCATATTTATGTTTGTGTGTAAAAAAACGGCTTTCAAAGAATAAGCAGACTATCACTGGAGTGTTTTTCAACCTCTTTGTCACTTGGATCCTAGATTCATTTGGAATTCATAAAAGGAGAGTTGATCTAAACCTAATGTTATTTTATAACCAGGAGATTGATGCTAAGCTAACTTCAAGTCTTGATTACTGTGAAAAGCTGTAGGTCGCAGAAACTCTTTAAAGTGTGTATAGTCCCTCCTTTGCTTATTTTTAATGTTACGGCATGTTTTCTTTTAGGGATCCCTAATTAATTATGATATCAGAGTCCTTTTAGGCTTTGTCACCTCAGAAGAGGGCATCTGTGGTTATCCGAAGGTCTCCCTGTTGTTGTTGTTGTTGTTTGTTGTTCTTGTTGTTTTTAAGAGACGGGGTTTCACCTTGTTGACCAGGCTGGTCTCGAACTCTTGACTTCAGGTGATCCGCCTGCCTTGGCCTCCCAAAGTGCTGGTATTACAGGCGTGGGTCACCACTCTCGGCCCCTGTTGGTTTTAACTTACCATGATTTGTCATTGCCATTGATATGTCTGTCTCCCTCTCGTTACACGAAGGCAGGAGTTGAGGATTTTCTTGAATAATTGTTCTGTGTATTGCAGGGCATCGGCTCGATAAACATGTGGAAAGAATGTTTAATATGGCCTTCATTGTATATACCTTTATTCATGATGAAATACGGGATATATGCTTTTGAAAAATTTAGTGAAGAGTGTTTATTAGGCTGGTGAATATTTATGTTTTCATGTCTTATTCTTAGTTTTGCAAGAAGGTTACACTTAGATGCAAAAATTATGCTAGGTAATTGACCATTTAGCTTCATGAGATACGTCTTAAAGTCATTTATTTCTTATTGAATTTATTGCCACCTTCTTGCCTTGATGGTAAACATAACCCAGAATTTATGTGAACACCTATGTGTGTTTCATTATAGGTGAATATATTACATTTTAATACTCTGATTAACCGAGAAGTAATATGGTGATTCATATTTTCCAGAGATGTATGTAAGAAATAACTTTGTCAGCAGAGGTAGAGTAGGAAGTCATCAGGTGAAGTGGTAATAACTGCATAACTTAACAGCTACATTCCAGACTAATATTTAGTTTGTGACTATGCTTTATCATACAACTAAACTATATTTGACATCTTTTTTTTTTTTTTTTGAGTTGGAGTCTTACTGTCCCAGGCTGAAGTGCAACCTCAGCTCACTGCAACCTCCACCTTCCGGGATCAGGTGATTCTTGTGCCTCAGCCTCCTGAGTAGCTGGGGTTACAGGCATGTGTGACAACATCTGGCTGGTTTTTGTATTTTTAGTAGAGATGGGGTTTTGCCATGTTGGCCAGGCTGGTCCCGAACTTGGGCCTCAAGTAATCTGCCTGGCCTTCCAAAGTCCTGGGATTACAGGCATGAGCCACTGTGCCTGGCTGTCAGTAGCTGTATTTTTAAACATTGGTACTGCTGAAGATCTCTTTCTGGTGACTAATGTTTAATCAGATAGTCAATTGCCAATGATGTATTTTTCGTATTTATAGGCATGTCTATTTTTTATTTTTGATAATTTGAATCTCAGTGGTGGTTATAACCTTTTAAAATCTTTATTTCCTTTATAACTGGCTAAGTTTTATGTTTGGTTCAGTGTGTTCTTGTGAGTCTGAGGGACAGCTCTTGTCTAACAGTGTTGAGTCATCTTAAGTTGAAACTACATCTAGTCTAGTTTCAATTTGCTATCCTTCTGCCAATGAAAATTATTCTATTTTATATAATTTGTAGACCTAATGGAAAACAAATGTTAGAACTATAGACTTTTAAAGCACTATCAAACTCTGATTGTGGTTAAATTAATAGTGGCAAAATAGCAGTAGAAGTGGATCTAAATTGTTAAAATATGGATCATAGATGATCAGGATATGATACCAGATTGGTGGAAAGCTTAAGAAACGTTTATGGTTGTCATTAAGGATTTAATTGAGCAATTGTAGTGTATAAGGCATTGTTTCTAGGTGTTTGTTAATCTGGTGGCATAGACTAATTTGTTTATAAACAGTTTTACCAGCCTTGGAATTTTGGTGTAATGTCAGACGGAATATATTAATAAATGGTATAGCGATTATTTTGATATAAACCTGTTCTTTATTATAAATAAAATATATATGCAGGTAGCAGTTATTGAACATACGAGACTGAACTCAGTTGAAAATTATTTTCAGGTTAGATTCTTGATTGCCGTTGTTGTTAAATGTTTGCTATTTCTGTTAGTTTCTTGGCTGATTGTATGTGGGATATACTCATTCACCTTGTAGATACTTAAGACAAGGATCAAATGTGTCTGTCTGACCTACACTTACACTTGTAAGTTGGATACTAAGCAGTGTGCCAAATCCCACAGACCCTTTAACCAGTTCTGGGCTTGTCAGGGTTGGCTAACTGATGCGCTG